GTTGCTCTCAGCCATAGTGAAAAAATGCAATAATGCCAGCATGATTCAGAGTGCTCTGTGTCCCACTGTAAGCAATGAAGTCTAAATCTAAAAAAAGGAAATGGTGCTAATGAGCCAGGTGTTTTTGGTTTTAATCAAGGAAGCTCTGTTGCTGATTGACTGTTCTCCAAAAAAGCAACAGAAAGTAATTGTCGACAGCAAAGTGTCAACATTTTCTGAATGTTTACCATGTGCGTCGACACACCTACCTACCAAATGACTTAATGAAAAACACTTATCTCTTACCATCTGTCTCCTGATTTACCATTGCTCTTTGTCTGACAGTCTATTTAAGTCTCAGGGTGTTGTGTTGGTGTCCGTCCTACAACCAGTTCATTCACTTTTCGTTCTCAAAATTACTCATTTTTTGTTTTTCAGAGCTGACAAAAGCCGTGGCCAGAGGCACTATGTTTTCAAGATGTCGGTCGGTTCATCCATACATCCCATTACCATGAACACAAGGCCTCAGTAGGGCCTTGAGGGAATGTCTTCAAATTTGGCACAAATAAGTAATTGTAAGCAAGTAAGAAGAAGTAATTAGATTTTGGTACATCCCATTACCATGAACACAAGGCCAAAGTGCTTTAGCAAATGCTAAAAGGTCAAAGTTCAAGGTCACTGCAACCTCACATTTGTCCCATTCCCATGAACTTAACTGGCTGGCAGAGGAATACAACCATGATGTGCTAATTCTAGTTATTCAAGATATTAATTTGCTTTTCTATTTAAAACACTGTTTTTAGCAGGATGGGGCTGAAAGGCAACAATGCAAACTTCCAATCAAGAAATTACCCCTACATAGAGTCTAGTGGGCAGAGCCACTGAATGGCCATTTTTCTGTTTGCTATCCATGAGAAGAGGCTGTTCATGTTTGAAAGAAAGTATGATTCATCTTTCAAATGGCCTTTCGATTCTGCTGTTGGAACTAGAATCCACTGTTATCCTTCCTGTCTAGTTTGCTAGACTGAAAACATTTTGCTGGCTATCATACTGAGATGATTTATGCATCAAACATGCAGAGACACCTTGATCCCTAGCATAGGTCAAATTCTGGTTCCGGACTTTAAAAAAAGCTGCTCCAAAAGACAACAGCTTTCACAGCAGCACTCCTCTGGTCCTATAGTGTACAATTGGTGCCCCTTTTTAAATTCAAGTTGATAAAAACGAGTGCCTATTTAAAGGCTACTGGCCCACTCACCAATCCTGTCAGGTCAGAAGCTGTCTCAGATTGACCCTTCAAAATCCAAACAGTACTGTGATAAGAAACTAATATAGTCAATTTTTCACAGTGACTGTTAATGAGTTATCTAAACTGGACCTGTTTGAGAAATGATTATGTTTTTGGTGTTGCAGCTTGGTGCCATGCTAAGCAGTATACACAGTTTAAGATGTCTGCTCCTCTGCAAGCACACTGTAATGAGTGATTGATAACTGCACAGTTCACACCTGAGTTGACAAAACATTTCAGTAGCTAACATGTACAGTTTGGCCTTGGTGCAGGTATGATGTCTGAATCAAAATGGCAATAGCTCCACATAGTGAGCAGTAAGCACACTATAATATTCAAACATTGGAGCTTGTAAATGAAACAGACATTTTCCTGAGTTGCTGTCTTCAGTGATATTAATAATGGTATAGCTGCATGCCCTTTTCTATAGTGACCCATGGAGCAAAGAACATATAAAAGTGCAAGCACAAACATTAAGGAAAACACAGTGCATATATGTCCCCAAAATCCATAAATGCAAGAAGTGGAAAAACACGTGCAAAACAATTCAATAAAAATCACTTTTAAATCATTTTAATCATTTTAAATGGTGAATATAGGATTTGCTATACTGTGAGTGCTCTAGGACACTAGCAGGAGCACTGAGATCCATCTGGATAGACAGCAACAGTGCAGATACTTCAGTCTTCCATCAAACTTTATTGGCATGTCCAACATTACTCACAGCTCACTATGTGGGGCTATTGCCATTTTGTAGTGATGCTCGATGCAGCCTTCGAAGGCTGCGTATGAGGACCGACTGCGTCACGGCTCTACGACAAGGCCATCCCATTTCAAAGGCTCCTCCCAAAGCATCCTCCTTTTCCCGGGCAACAAAGGCCCTATCTGGTGGATCCTTCATACCCCACCATGTCCCAAAATTCTCTCTGTGTCGGCAGAGCGCAGAGCAGTTGTCAAGCTTGCTAGGCAACAGGAGCGACACTTAGTAACGCAATGGTAGAAGCAGGAACAGTTGGTGATGTAAAAAGGAAATCTGCCATAGCCCATAATAGGAAATCCTTCATAGACCAGACCGTTTCCTTTCGGTTCGACCCATGGTTCAGCCTTCACGATCTACAATGGCTACGAAGGCCACACCTTTATAGACCAGGTCCTTCAAAGGATACAGTCAAAGACACAGCTTCTATGCGTATACTCAGATTAGTAAATATGCGATTTGTGAATGTGTAAATGGATCTGCAAATGTGTACTGTGTTTTTAGGTCGGTGTGTTCTGAGTGACTGTTATCTTGCTGGAATACAAATGTCAGTGTTCTGGACTGATCAAGACTGTTCAAGACTTGATCTTGAAATACAAATGAAATGCTTTGGCTGTGTTAGTGCATTTTGGATGTGAGATTAATTAGTGTTTTGTGTGCACATACTGTATATGCAGATTCTTTTTGCACATGTACAGATCTCATTTGCATTTACAGATTTGTCTACTGACTAAATACTATACACGCTGTTCCCTTTACACATTTTCAAATCTGAGTACACACAGAGAGATTATACAGCCAAAAGACTTAATTCGTTCTTCGTTTGGTGGCTGTGTGTGTGTGTGCGAGCGCTTGGTATTACTCACATTGTGGGGACTCAGTCTTCCTTGTGGGGACCAGATGCTTGTACCCAACATGTAAATCATTCAATTTTAGAGTGTTGGCTTTTTTATGATTAGGTTGGGTTTCCATTAAGGTTAGGTTAAGTCTCTAGGGAATTAATGTAACTGAATACAACACCCCCATGAGAAAATAAAACTAATATGTGTGTGTGTGTGTTTTGTTTTAAATCAAATTCAATTCACTTTAGGACTCTGACAATTATTTGATAAACCATCCAGAAATGTAATCAGCTTTAACACCAGGTACATGACAGGACTCACACTTTGATCAGTTCCAAATCAATGTAAAAGAATTGTTTTCTCTCTTTTAGTCAGAGTGACTAAGCAATTTTAAAGTGATGACTTTCATCATCTTGATCGTGAACAGATCAACAAAAATGTTGCAGCTTCAGATGAGTGATCATCTATTCCTGCTCCCCCCAGTGTAAACACATTTTTTGCCAGTGCAGCTGGTGGGCTATGCCTTGCATATGTTGCCATGCTATTACAGACTCCTCCACTTGCCAGACTGAACTGAGCAATTTTGTGACCAGAATATCCCAAATTTAAGCACAAACTACTAGGCTCCTTTGATGGTCAGACACCTTTTAAAGTGAACACATACTGCGTTGCAGCTTTCACCTCTGAACTGCTTTAGTGCTTCTGATGGTGTACTCAGAGTTTAGCTCTGTATACATGTGTTGCTGCTGTTATATCTTCCAACCCTGCACATTTGAAATGTAGAAAAGTGACTGATGATGGTTTGTACTTGGCAACATATTACCATTCTAAGACAAGACTGACATGAGTGAACAGATGTTCTACAGTGGGCCCTCTGGGGCTGATTCCTCCACTGCAGGCCAGGCAAGCATGTGTTATGCATATTATATACTGTGTGTTAATGTTGACAAAATCACCACATTCTTCATGCTCAGTGCTGAAACTAACCATTCATGATACAAATACCAAACAAGTGGTAGTTTCAGCTTCTCAAATGTGAGGCTTATTATTATACCCTGGAACACAGTGATGGATATCGATTAATGTATGCAACAAATTAACAAATAAACTGATGAAAATAATCATTTGTTGTAGCCCTACTCCACTCCGCTGTTCAGATAATGCCATTACTCTACATCAAGGGAACAGGAACAAATGTCAGGAGACGCCAAAAAAGAGGAAAAAAACATATTGCCTACATTACACAATCCATAGCAGCCAAATGATTCCTGTAATAGAAGCATTCTGTAGACTACTCGGCTTTATGAGTGGAAAAAAAAAATATCCAAAGCTCCCCCCCCAACACATTCTGTAGTCTGGAAGCATGACACTTGCCATCGTTTCCTTAAACATATGAGCACTTGAAAAAAATGCAACGCCTAAGATTGGCAGCTCACCAGACGCCAATCAATGCAACATTAACAAGGACAGCTAAGCAGCTGGCACTTGGCTCACACGTCCTTCTACACATACGACTGTCAAAGCATTTCACAGAACTGAGATACAAACTGAAACGTGCACTGAAACAGGTCTTCATTTTCTCTTCTTCTACAGAGAGATGTGGTCTGATGCGGAGAGAGAAAGCACGAGTTAAAGAGAGGCTGCAGTCAATGAGTGGACTCCTGTTTCCTGCAGTGTGCGTAAATTCCAGTCTGGCTACACTGGTGCGGCACAGGCATCAGAGGAAACTGGACAGCTTCCAACACCCACTCTGTTATAGCAGCCTGTCTATCCTTCATAACTCCGTCGAGGTGCTGTGTACAACAACACCCCAGAAGAAAAGACGAAGGCGCGCCAGAGCCAAATCCACACATCTCAGCCGAAAAAATGAGTGAGAAGGTGTGCGCTCTTACACTTCTTTTGCTCTCGTGTCTGTTTCGCCCAATTTCACGTGGCGCAACTGCAAATGCGCACACAGTCAAACTCGTCGCTTACCAACGCACACGACCTCAGCACTCGTGTATTTATTTACCTGTTTATTAATCAAATAGAACGGGTTTTGGGGTACACGCCTGCACCACAGGCAGTGTTATATACAGGTGTAAATGAAAACTTACACACAGCTCAAAACCAGTCAAACTTATTTCTCCCTTACCTGTCCGCGTGCACTGCCCTGAACACACATGAGAGCTGACGAAAGGCGAAAAAGACGCACGACTTTGGGCTTCTTCCTCATTTTCTCCTTACATCCGTATCTCTGTCAATGTTCCCCTCTGCCGCTGCCATTCTGGCCAGGGCAGAGCTCGACGATTGCAGAGAGCTGATACTCTACCTTTTCCCCCAGTGTGTGCGTGTGTGTATGTGTGTGTGCAGGCGACGGGACGAGCGATCCAAGCCAGAGCGTGTGTGCGGATCTCACCGCTGAGGGGGGATCCTCCAATCACGCCCAGCTCTGCGGCATCGCAGGCCAAAGAAGGCGCTCGATTGGTCGGATATCAGATCAATCCATGATTACCACGGTCGGACCGGCCTCTTGTGCCTTCTCTCATCTCTCTCTCTCTCTCTCTCCCCTCTGGCCATCTCTTTATCTGTCAACACGTGATTATATAAGATAGTGATCAGGAAGCGATACATTATCCTTAGTTCATTTTATCACACAGACACACACACACACACACACACACAGGCGTGCGCGCGCGCGCGCCCACGGCCAAACACACTCCCACTTCACTAAGTGTCCCAGTAGGATACAGAGCATCACTGACAGTGAAGGAAACCGCTCAACAAGAGAAGCCTGCCTTAAAATACAAGAATGGAATTTTACATTCCAATAGCCATATAAATGAACAGAGTTCATTTCCTTGTGGAAATGCTCTTAAACATTCATTCTAACCTAACAAAACAGTGTCACTAAAGTCAGGGGGTTATTTTTTCCCCAACTTGAAACCTTCATGTTTAAACGCCTGTTAGTCCCCATGCAGTCACACTCTGTTTTTGTCCTACTTCTGTGTATCTGCCTCTCAAGGTGTCCTAAGCTTCAGATATAGATGTATTAAATAGTTATTTTTAGAACAACCAGGACATTTTAAAAATAAAGGCCAATTATGTGAATATTTGCATTCAAGCATCAACACCTAGGATGTGAATACGAAATTGTCAAAATAAATAAAAGAAACAATTTGCATAATTAACATAATAAACATAAATGATCAATTTAGTCTTTACTAAATGTTGCAATGGACGGGGGGGTTAGTTTGCCTGACAAATTAACATATTGACTGATGACATTATATACCAACTAGCCTCCCTTAAACAAGGTGCTGGAAAAAATGAGGCTGTAATGTCAGGTTGTCTTTTCTTTTTTAAAATGAATGAAATTAGGATTCTATTTCAAAGTTTTTAAAAATATTCAGAATAATTAGTCCAAAAATCTCTAACTTTTTTGAACATGAAGTGCCTTTTAGGTTCTCTGGTTGACATGTTTGAGTCTTAAAGATCTGAGTGTTACTTTTATCCCCAGAATCTTAATAGTGCCATCAGCAAAGCACAGCTTCCAATGACACCAGTGAGCTCAGAAGAGCTAGGTCAAAATCTGAGCAGTAGCATTCAGGAAAAACTGTCTGAAGATACACAAAGCTTGATTTGCTTGTCTGCCAGTGTCTAAATAGAAAAAAAGTGCAGCTTTCAATCAGTAAGATAACATTTTTGTTTCCCATTTTAGGGTTTATGGAGTAACTCAATGGTCCAGTTGTTGTGGCACCCTGGTACAATCATCCCACTAAAGGCTCACCTCTTTCTGAATAGTTTCTCTTTACAGACAACAGGGTGCATCAGTAGTCAGCTGTTGCCTAGGGGTAGAAGTGATGCATCTATAAGCACTTTCATGCTCAAGTGTATACACATCTTGTGTCAATGACAGTCTGTCACAGGGTTTGTTCCCCTGAGGCATTTCAGTGATGTTTGGTTTCTGGCCATAATCTGAATGAGACTCATAGCGTGAGCAAGCATATCATAAACAGAGTCCAACACTAGTGTTCATCTGGAGGCCAAACTATAGAGAAGACTGTCAATGTGAGTGAGCCACAGCAACAGGTTTTATAACAACTAAGCTTAATTAAGTGGCAACAACACCAATAAATTAATAAATGACAAAATAAAGCCTTTAATTGTAATATAAAAAGTCTGCCCATAAACCTCTGGCATACACGCTCTTTCCATAGCATTTAATCACTTAAATTGCAAAGCTCTGAAAATTTCACAGACCATGCTATAATGCTTTGATTTGATCAGATAAATCCACTGCTAGAACATAAACAGAAAACATATGCCAACTGTCTGATGTGATTCAGTTTAAAAGCATGTTTGAAGTCTGTATAATTAGTCAGCACCATGCAACACAATACAATGCAGTGTTAGCTACTCCTGTGACATCTTACAACTTGTGTGTTACACTTTGAGAAGACTTTTTGCCCCACATAATGTCTATATTTTTGAAGGTGTTTTAAGACTCAAAGATATTTCACTGAACTTGTTTACACATCTATGTTACAGTTCCACCCTTCAAATGGAAGACACCATGAATGAATGTGGATTTGTGTTCATCTTTTTTACAGTCCGTAGACATTGTACTACACCAACAGAAAATACTTGGCTCTTACTGACCAGGATATTTCCTATCATGAGTTAAACGTTCGTCTTGAATCAGTGCACAGGGTATATGAAACTGTTGGAGCACTTCTCAGCTTGGCTGCACTGTATTTCCTGGTTTCAAAGCAGTTACACAGTTTTGTAAAGTTTTTTTTACCCTTTGGCACAGTCTTCTTTTTTTTTATTTTCACTCTTTCTATTTCTATCCATGTTTTTTCCTGCCAATCAATTAGTTAGTTATTCACTCATTTGCGCCCACCTCTCTTTTACACACACACTGCTGTGTTTTCATTCCTTGTGGGGACTTTACATTGTCTTACATTAATTTCCTGTAGACCTTTCCTAACCATAACCACTACTTGCCTAACACCTAACCCTAAACCCTAATACTTAAGCGCACTCTAACCTTAAAACATGTTGCCACCATAAAAATAAGCCTCTGGTCCCCACATGGTTGGCTGAGTCCCCACAATATGAGTGTGTTAACAGGTTTTGGTCCCCATAATGTAAGTAATACAAAAGCACACACACATCACTCAGGAGCCAGTTTTGTGTCTACCTATGAATTCAGTCATGCTTTTGCTCATTCTAGGTCCAAAAGGTCCAAAAGGAAGCCTAATGAATAATGAACAGTGGAGTGATTGGAGTGGGCAGGGGTAAGGAGATGGGCAGTGTGGGATTGAAGGAAAAAGGCCTTTCAGGACCAGGACACAATGGAGATATGGAAGCAGGGCAGCTTGTTCACCCATCTATTAGGTAACAAAGGAGACAAGAGATGAATGGAGGGTGATACGTCATGGATGAGAGGAAGAGGAGGGGGAATAGGAGGTCTATAGACTAGTGTTTGCTGGCTGAGCACACATTAGGCATCAGAAATGAGGAGGCAGGCAGCAAGATGAGAGTCAGAAGAAAGTGGACATGGAGAGGCAGGGGTCTCGAAGACGCCAGAGGCTCCTCAGCACATTGCCTCCAGTTTCATCTATCATCCAAACCTAGCTCTTCCTGCCAACATACCTACGCCTCTGGTCCACATCCAGAGTTGGCACATCACTTCAAATACACCCTAAAAAGCATGTGCTCAGTTTATTAATAAATAAGAAATGGCTGTAGAAGAAAAAGAAGACTCATGCTCTTCAATACTCCAATTTTATAGTATGATAAGGATTTTATAAGTGCGGTTTATGTTTGTATGTCTTCTTTATGTCTGCCATCTAGTGTGTCCCTTTTCCTGAAATTACTGTGGCTGGCATCTGCACAAAATCAAATGGAGCAGTTTCCTGCTATTCATTTTTGTACTTTGTGGAAAGCAACACCACCTGCAATGATTTCGGTGCCAAATCAGAGAGTAGTCAACCCAGTCTCCTAGAAATTATGTTAATATACAACAAATTTCCAAAAGCATAAATGTTTAAGGTAACATATGCTACTGAACATCAAGGTATAATGTTCTGTACTGTAGTTTTTTTAACAGTACTTTTTATTGTAATACAACGTCTGCTTGTTACAAGTATAGCACTATCTAACTTTTTATTATGGCTGTGTTTAGGAACTCACAGCACCAGGTTAACACTAGAACCGCCAACAATGCAGTACCTCCTAGAACCGCTGGGAGGTCATTTTGACCTCGCACCACTTCAGGCTTTATAATTGCAAATTAGAAGTCTATTACAGGAATGATTGGTCATTTTTTCAAAATAGCATGTAAAAATGGATGAAATAATAAAACATCAGGATTTTATCTCTTTTATTTTAGCAATATAAAAATATAAATTCACTTCAGTTAAACTACTACTGGAAAAATACATGTAATAAAATATGACAAATTGGTCAAACAGATAAAAACATTGCTCATAAACACTGAACATTACAATAATAACAGTCCATTGCTTTCATGAGAAATGAACATGAATTCAGAAATATTTACAAAGAAAGAGAGCCTTGGTCAAAAATGTTTGGGAACCACAGGCCTATTCCGCTCCAAGTTTTGCCACACAGCTTACTCACAACCAACACATACACTGAAGACCTTGACAGTACATTGACCACACACAGGTCGCTGGCACTTGATGCACAATTTAACAGTTTTGTTTTTATTGCAGTGCATTTTGACTGTACACTAGCCGTCCTTGGTAGGCTAGTGGTTAGGGTTGCGTCAGGAAGGGCATCCGGCGTAAAAACACGTGCCAAATGTCAACATGTGAGTCGTAAGTGTGACGATTCGCTGTGGCGACCCCTAAACGGGAAAAGCCGAAAGTGACTTTCTATTTTGACTGTACACTGCCTTTGCCTCACCTGACGCTGCTCTACCACTGTTTGAAGGGGCAGTGGGACAGTCTCAGTTGCCTCTTTCATTTGCATGTGGTCGCTGCGTAATTCCTTACACAACTGCAGAAGGAAGTTGCACCTAGCAAGTTTTGCTTTTGTGCAGCTCCGGTAAAGAATGCATACATTGATGCCAGCCAGGTCCAACATGTTATAGAAGACGACGACTGGCCATCTGTGGGTGGCGGCTCTTGTGGAGTATTGTCTAATCATTTTATCCAGGACATGCACTCCCACCTTGGTCTTGTTATTACGGTGCACCGTGTCTGACTGT